AGGTTATATTCACCCTGGATGCAATAAGATTTCCTGTCATGTTCTAAACTATTTTGAGTGAACAATAAGTGTCTAAAATGAAAGAATTCTCAGTGGACAGGGGTGATGTGCCCATGAAGTTCAAAGTGTGACTGACAACAGATGATTTAAAGAAAGCTCACTTTATTTCAACACTAAGCTTATTGAGGGAGGGTGGCTTTTGTTAAAAAAATATGTGTTAATTAAGTGGACCAGCTAGATGTATAAAAATCATGTATACCAACTGACAGTGTGTTTCTCTAAGTTTATTAACAGAGTATGTATGTCTATGATTTTAGTCAGACCAACACTGGGAGAATTAATATATTACTTAGCCTAGTACAATACGTAAATCTAAACAACTGGTAAAATAATTTTAGAGAGCAACAGGCCTGAGCTGGCTTCAAATCTCCCAGAAACTAGGAATGCCCAGTGTTGTGATGGTATGTTTTAAGGACCTATACTGGGAATCTCATTGTTTTGTTTTGGTTTGGGTTTTTTTTAAACTTTATATTGTAATTTCTATATCTTGCACTTAGTATCTTACATTCATATTGTGGTTTTGGTATATTTTGTTCACTCTGCTGATACAAAAATCACATGTAACATCTAATAGCTTCAAATAAGTACATACAAAAGCTACAGCCTCTACATGTAGAATATCTAAAATAACTTGATGAGGAAATATTGGACTCTGAAAACTATGAATTGTACTTCCCTAAAAAAAAATCTATTCGTCAAAATGGGGACTGAAAATAGTAGGAGGAGGTTGAGATGCCCAGAAAACATGGTATTTTTCTAATATGTAATTCAATGTTAATGTTCAGTCAACAGAATTCAGGTGGGAAAACACACTACTGTTTTGCACATTAAGTACAGTTGCCTTAGGTCAATACCAGCTGTCCTTGGAGAAGACTCTGCAGAAAATAGTGTTACAGAATGTAGAGCTTCAACTTCCAAAACAAGAACAAAAACAAAAACAAAACCACCAGCCCTAGACCTCAGACTCCTTTTCAGAAAAAAAAAAAAAAAAAAGAGAAGAGAAGAGAAGAGAAGAGAAGAGAAGAGAAGAGAAGAGAAGAGAAGAGAAGAGAAGAGAAGAGAAGAGAAGAGAAGAGAAGAGAAGAGAAGAGAAGAGAAGAGAAGAGAAGAGAAGAGAAGAGAAGAGAAGAGAAGAGAAGAGATCTTTTGTTTCCCATTATCTTCATATTTTAATATGAGAAAAGTTGACATTTCCTTAATGATAACATGACTTTCACGTTCCGTTATTGATATTGTGAAAGGTAATAATCAGTCCACAGTACTGGCACCCTATGCTTTTATTTAAAGACCTCCAGGAGAATTAGCCTCAGCACTATTGTATTTTTAATGTGTTGTTTGCCAGTGCAAGGAAAACTTCACTGCATCTCTCAGATCTGATTTTCATTACTAATATTAGTTTATTATCTTTGTTCAATAAACCCCACAATTATCCACATTAATATCTGCGATACAAAAATCATTGAGTTCAGCATGGATATGGTCAAAGGATTAAAAATGGAAAGGTAATACTGTTCATATTGTATGGCTTCTGACCAGGACCTGTTATTCAGAGACATCCAATTCTCTTAAGATCAGCAAATAAGTTTAAATAGATGTGGCTGAAATTGATGGAATCTAATTCAAAGTAGGATTTTTTTTATAAGTTTTAACTGTCATATTAATCAAAACATATGGACAACCTAGGAAATGTGGTCTAGTACCAGATCTGAAAGTTGGTGGTCCTGCCTGTCGCAGGGGGGCTGGAATTTGATGATCCTCAGGGTTCCTTCCAACCAATGCCATTTTATGATTCTATATGACACTGTCACATCAGTATATAACTTGCTACTTAAGCGATATAACCCAGTGTAGTAGAAAGGAAGAAAAAAAAAAAAAAAAAAAAAAAGGACTGATATTGAAACAGTGCACTTATTAAACTGCACAACAGAGAAACAAATTGTACTTGCATTTGCTGACCCACGTGTAAGGATTCCTCTTTTACTTTGAGTGGGAACAACCCTATAGATAATCAGTTTTACGTTTATCACAGTTGCTTTGTGCTTTGGCTGTGGCTATGAATGTAAAAATTTTAATACTCAGTTTTCTTTTCATGAAGGATTTCACTGTGTCTAACTTTGTGATCTACTTATCATTCATCTCTTTTTATTTTTATCAAGTTGCCATCAAGCCACCTTAGCAAGCAACAGCATTGTGTTTTTATTGGTCCATTCGACATATTTGATTGGTCTAAATGCAAAATAGCATACCAAATTCACTGAAAGTCCAGTGAATGTAGATAGGGGTGCTATTGAGGCAAATAGTGTCCCACTGCTTCTTCTGTCCACTCTAGGAATGTTTATGGATTCAAAATGGAGTTCAGATTGTCTGTCCATAAGCAAAGAGTAGTCACAACAGTTTGGATGCAATATAAACAGGAGCAGAAGGGAAAAAAAATAAATAAAACACTTTATTTGCCATTCCAAGAATGCTTGGAATCACAGTAGATCACAAAAAGATTTATTTCAGAAATGCAAAGGAATGCAAAAAAACAAGGAGAGATAAAAATGTTTTATGTTTCAAGAGAAAAAAAAACAAAAACAGGACAAACAAAAATAAACAAACAAAAAAGGGCAGGGTTAGACCCTTCACAGTGTGACTTGAGGTTTAAGTATTCACTAGTATGACCATGGTTTGATGATCTGAACAAGAAGTAAACTACTATCTAGATATTTGTACAACTCATCATCATGATATCAGAAGGATGGAGTGTCTCCCTCCAAATGGTGTTTTAAAAGACATTGCTATTTCTCTCAGCTTGCAGTCTGAGCTTTCTCAGTAAATTATTCAGTCATTAACATCCTCTTCTCAGACACTAAAGAAAGAATTATTCTATAAAAGCATAATTATGTCATTATAAGGTGTTGGGAGAAAAAATAAGTACTCTTCACAGAGCTGTTTCATTGGGACCTTCTTCTAAAAGTAGTTTTCTTGGGTTACTCACAGGCATAAAGGCATAAGAGGAAAATGAATTAATGACTTCCAAGTAAGTGTTGAATTGATTCTTTTTCCTCTGAAAAAATATGTAATATGCATATGTTAGAGGTAGCCAAATAGTGGTGGACTTCATCATCCATGACATCCATTCTTTTTCCTGACTAAGGCAGGGATAGCTTACTGTGGTGGGTATAATTGCAAAGGAAAAAGACTGATCTTTCTCCTTTGATGCTATTAGGGAATCAGTGAGTCAGTCCTTTCTTTTCTCTGCTTATCATTGTTACTCTGATTCTCCTTCATTTTTATGTTCACTGTAACTAATCTTCAATCATATTGACAAATTACTCCAAAACAAGTAGCATGACTACATAAAATAACATTTAGAGAATCCAACACATCCAAGAGTTATTTTTATCACAGAAGTCACTTAGGATGGTGGCCAAATCTATATTCTACCATTTACTTTTGCTATCCAAAACAGGATGGCAACAAGGAAACACCCTAGTACAAAAATCTAATTGTGCCAGGGAATCTACTGGGCAGTTCTGCCTGATCTCTGCAAAAAACTATGCCAAAACCAGTTTTAACAAATTAGCAATGTCACCAGTACCAGAAACATTCTGGACCCTACTTTATCAGTGTAAGTGCAATTTTGCAATTTGCAAGAAACTATTTGGCCATAAAACCAAGGGACAATTAAGGATTATGAAACTCATTTTGAGAAAAATATGTATTGTTATAAGTCATAAACAAAAAGAGCAATAAAGTTTAAGTGGCATGTGAAATGCCATCACTTCTTTCCACAGTGTGGTGTGCATACCACATTGGTCATTCCTAACGGAGACTGACTTATGAGGTCACTTTCATACAACGAAGTTTGAACTTGTTTTCTCTCACTTTATCTTATTGGCTTATTTTTTTAAGTAGACATTTGTTTTTTAGCTTTTGTGAATTATGCTCTTTGATAAAAATCCAACCATCATATGATAAAAAAAAAAAAAGAAAAAAAGATTAGTTTTATTTCATGAGGCAACATGCAATTGAGGCACTGAAGTTTCTACAATTGAAAAATAGAAATCAAAGACAATTCTGAAAAGATATCTCAAGATTTTAAGTGACTCTGCAGTCCTAATTATCTCTCAAGCATTACAATGACAAGCAAAAAATATAGGCTTTATATAGCATCTGCAAGGTCACTAGGATATTCATTTGAGAATTTTTTTTTTTTAATTCTATTTCTTAGCAAATAAAAACTTCAACAAAAATTAAGTATATATATACATGTATATATGTACATGCATAACAGTCAGTTAAAATTTGATTTAAGAGCAGACATTTCTAAAAACAAAGATACAATTCCAATTTCTCTATCTATATATGCTCCTGGACATTGAGAAGTGAATAATTAATAAGTAAATAATGATTTTAATTTAAATAATTTAAATAATTTTTATATTTTAATTAATTAAAACTTTTAAAAGGACAATTAATACAGTATAGAAATATTAGTACAATGAAGTACAGAAATATTATAATATGATAATAGATACGAGAATATGATCATTCCAAACAAGACAAAGTAGAAGAGTAAATCATGTAATTTGCCAGGGAAGGTTATGGAGCAGATTGTCTTGAGGGAGATCATGCGGCATGTGCAGGGTGACCGGGGGATCAGGCCTAGCCAGCATGGGTTCATGAAGGGCAGGTCCTGTTTGACCAACCTGATCTCCTTCTATGATCTAGTGACCCATCTGGTGGATGAGGGAAAGGCTGTTGATGTGGTCTACCTAGACTTCAGCAAAGCCTTTGACACTGTCTCCCACAGCATTCTCCTGCAGAAGCTGGCAGCCAGAGGCTTGGATGGATACACTCTTGGCTGGGTAAGGAGCTGGTTGGAGGGCCGGGCACAGAGAGTGGTGGTAAATGGAGTCAAATCCAGCTGGCAACCGGTTGTGAGTGGTGTTCCCCAGGGGTCGGTGCTGGGGCCTGTCCTCTTCAATATCTTTATTGATGACCTCGATGAGGGCATCGAGTGCACCCTCAGTAAATTCGCAGATGACACCAAATTGGCTGGAAGTGTGGATCTGCCTGGGGGTAGCGAGGCCCTACAGAGGGATCTGGACAGGCTGGAGAGTTGGGCTGAAGCCAATAGGATGAGTTTCAACAAGGCCAAATGCCGGGTCCTGCACTTCGGCCACAACAACCCCAGGCGACGCTACAGGCTTGGGGCGGTGTGGCTGGAGGACTGCGTAGAGGAAATGGACCTGGGGGTATTGATTGATGCTCGGCTGAACATGAGCCGACAGTGTGCCCAGGTGGCTAAGAAGGCCAATGGCATCCTGGCTTGCATCAGAAACAGTGTTGCAAGCAGGAGCAGAGAGGTGATTGTTCCCCTGTATTCAGCACTGGTGGGGCCGCACCTCAAGTACTGTGTCCAGTTTTGGGCCCCTCACTGCAAGAAAGATATTGAGGCCCTGGAACGTGTTCAAAGGAGGGCAACAAAGCTGGTGAGGGGTCTGGAACACAGGCCGTATGAGGAGAGGCTGAAGGAGCTGGGAATGTTCAGCCTGGAGAAGAGGAGGCTCAGGGGAGACCTCATTGCTCTCTATAACTTCCTGAAGGGAAGTTGTAGTGAGCTGGGGGTCAGCCTCTTCTCTCGTGTCATTAGTGATAGGACCAGGGGGAATGGCTTCAAGCTACGGCAGGGGAGATTCAGGCTGGACATCAGGAAGTATTACTTTTCGGAAAGGGTAGTCAGGCACTGGAATGGACTGCCCAGGGAGGTGGTGGAGTCACCGACCCTGGGGGTGTTCAAGGAAAGACTGGATGTTGTATTGAGGGACATGGTTTAGTAGGAGCTATTGGGAATAGGTGAACGGTTGGACTGGATGATCTTTTAGGTCTTTTCCAACCTTGGTGATTCTATGATTCTATGATTCTACTCACTGAAATATTAACATGTAAAACTCAGTATCTCTGGAAAAACAAAAACAACAACAACAACAAAAAAAAAAACCAACATGATAGATGATGTTCACTTTCAGCACATGTTCGTACTATAAGATTTCAGATTTTCTTCACATATGCCACTCCAATTACTGGATAGAATAACTTGTAATAGTCTACTGTGGGATCTACATGGTTAGAAAATCAGTTTTTTTCTAATGTATTCCTTTCCATCTCTGAAAAGATTTATTTTCCAGTCAATGCATTTATTTTAATCATTGCCTTTCAAAGCTGGTATTATTTTCATATTTTGCATCCAAACTTCTAAACAATATTTCCAACATAACAAAGAGCAAAAGAGACAACTAAATTTAACTTTATAGTGTAAATCAGAGAAGAAAAAGAAAAAGCAGAAGTGCCCAAGTCCTCAAAATTGCCCCAACAGTCTACTTAAAAAAAAAAAAAAAAAAAAAAAAAAAAAGATAATGCAAAGTCCGGACAAATAATTTGCTTTCTTGTTGTTGTTTTCTATTTGTTGCTTTTGTTCTGTTTTGGTTTGTGGTGTTCTGTTTATTTGTTTGTTTGTTTGTTTGGGGGGAGGTGAGGGAACAAGCTTCTTATAAAATTCAATTTGTACACATTTACATAGTAAAGAAGCCTAGGATAAAGTATGTCATTTAACTGGTATTGCTCCTTGAGAAGAGAAGTCTAATGATAATGTATAATCATGATGCAACATAAGCAAGAATGCAATTGAGTTTTGCTTATCCATTATGTAAGCCAGTGCATGAACAGTACAACAGTATGTTTGCTGGCAGGTAAATTTCTCATTCAGTGAGGAGATAGCTCTTCCATAAAATCAAACATGGAGCTTAATTGACAGTGAATGTTTAATTCATTTTCATAAAAATCAATAGTAATTCTCAAGGGGATAATGGTGAATTAATTCATTTATCTAGATTTTTAAATCCAATGCATAGCAAACACAAGACATTTAACAAAGGTTCAAGAGTGCTTGATGAGAGGATATCAAGATAACAACATCATTTTGATTTGTTTTATTTCTTAATATCATGAGGATTTTTTTGTGTTAAATTATCACTATATCATTCCAGAGTGCAACTGGTAGTTCACATCCTAATCCTATTACTAAATACTTATCACTTATGTAATTCGAAGTACATGAATCAGTGTCAAAACAGGAATAAATATCCTACCTTTTTGCTAAATAGAAGTGAAATTAGAATCACAGAACCATGGCAAGTTTAGTGCCTTGACCACTTCACTGAAGAACCTGTTACAGGGCCCAATCACCATCTCAGTGAAGAATCTTTTTCTGTCAGTGACACTAGAGAGATTAATATCTTCCCCTCTGCTTCCCTTGTGAGAAAGCTGCAGGCTGCCATGAGGCCTCTCTTCAGTCTCCTCTTCTTTAGGCTAAACAAACCTAGGGTCTGCAGCTGTTCCTCATATATCTTGCTCTGTAGACCCTTTACCATCTTTGGTGCTCTTTTTCAACATTATATGAAAACTGTAACAAATGCTGAATCTCAAATGTTAGCAATACTCTAAACAAGATAGAGATCTAAAATACGGTAACCACTTTTACAAGCATGCTGTTAGACTTCTTCTGCCATGAGACCTTCATAGTCTGGAAAAAAGTGAAAAGAATGAGGGATAGGAAAAATAAGTAGGAGCCTAAAAATCAAAGGGCTTTCATACCGATCCAATGTTATTGATTTATTTTTCTATTTCTTCCTTTGTTTATTCCACCACATTTATAATTTTGTTGTTGTTGTTATTGTTTCTTTATCTGTGTGGTTGTTTAGTTTTGGTTTGGTTTGGTTTTGATGTTTGTTTGTTTTTTGTTTTTTGTTTTTTTTTCCTACAGCCATTGTAGATTTGCTATCTGCTACAAATCACAGAACATAAATTCAAAAATGAAACAAACAAGCAAGTAAGCCAAGATTCCAAATATATATCTCTTGGCACGGATTAAAATAGTTTTTAAATTATGCATTAAATTTAAATACATGATTACCTGCACTTTGTAAAATATTTGCATATGTATGTAGCTTCATCCAAGTAAATACAAATGCTCCAAGTCATAGCTGGAACTTTTTGTTGCTACAGTTGCTACTGGAATATTATGATTATGACCAAGAGAATATATAATCTTGCTAAGAGTGAACAGTTGAAGGCATAGTAGTGAAACTATTAAGAACAAGAAAAGTTCTTTTCCTCTGTCTGTCCAATACAGTGAACTTGGGATAGTTTTGGATTATTTACATTCAACATTTTGAAATGGATATGATGTTGTTTAGTCAGGTTTATGATAATTGATCCAAACATAATGGCCAGTCAATAAGATAACCAGGAATAGATTGCAAGAGCTTGTCTGAAGGTCTTCTCAAGGTCTGACTTTTGCCATGCAGCTTCTATAATAACATTAGGTAAACAAGGGTGTAAATAAATAGAATACTATCTATGTTTTTTATCTAATTAAAAAATAGATATTTATAGACATTTCTGTGTAGCAAATACAGCTTATTCATCTATGCTCATATATCAAACACCTTGTATTTAAGAAGAACAAAGAGTGTATCTGAAGGTTGTTACAGACAAGTTGGGCATCTAAGGTGTCATTTCTTTTAACTGATTGCACAGGTAACTTTTAGATGTTTTCCTCATATGCCAGTATTTTTGTTCACAATATTTGTCTTTAGCTTATATGTTTTTTACCACAGCAATAAAATGCCAAACATGCTTTTGTTAGATATTTTTGAATGTTATTTATTTGCTTTATTTATTTTCTTGTCTCAGTGAAAAAAAAACATCACTTTACAGCTGTTCTAGGTCTGTAGAGAGTGTGGTGGTCATGGGAAGACTGAGGGTTAGAAAGTTTGAAAACAGTTAATTAGCTCCTCTGCTAAATAATAATAAACAATCAGGATAACACAGTTCCAAATACAGCAGTGGATTATACAAAACGCTTTTCTTAATTTCTTCTTACTTTTAAGCAAACGAGAAATTAACTCATCTTCATTTTGGCTACTCCTAAAAAAAATGTATTTATTCAATTTGTTGAATCTTTGTAATGATATTAAATTTTAGTTATTATACTGAATCAGAGAATCAGAGAATCATAGAATCATAGAATGGCCTGGGTTGAAAAGGTTTAATCCAGTTTCAATCCCCCTGCTATACACAGAATTGCCAACCACTAGATCAGGCTGTCCAGAATCACATCCAGCCTGGCCTTGAATGCTTCCAGGGATGAAGCATCCACACCCTCCATGGGCAACCTGGTCCAACCTGCTTCACATACCTCTGAGTGAAAAAATTCCTCCTAATATCTAACCTAAGTCTCTCCTGTGTTAGAATCATAGAATCATAGAATCAAAAGGTTGGAAAGGACCTAGAAGATCATCTAGTCCAACTGTCCTCCCATCACCATTACTACCACAAGCTACTAAAACATATCTCATAGCTGCTCATCCAGATGCCTCTTGACTACTGCCAGAGACAGCAACTCCAGCATCTCCCTGGCAGGCTATTCTAATGCCTGACCTCTAAAAGAAAAAGTTCTGTCTTTATGCCTAACTTAAATCTCTTCTGGTGCAACTTTTGGCTGTTTCCTCAGGTCCTGTTTGTTGCCTAGGAGAAGAGGCCCAACCCCTCCTCACCACAACCTCCCTTCAGGAAGTTGTAGAGTGCAATGAGGTCACCCCTGAACCTGCACTTTTCCAGACTAAACAATCCCAGCTCCCTCAGCCTCTCCTCATAAGACTTGTGCTCCAGACCCCTCACCAGTTTTGTTGCCCTTCTCTGGACACGCTCCAGGGCCTCAATGTCTTTCTTGTAGTGAGGGGCCCAAAACTGAACACAGTACCCAAGGTATAGCATCACCAGTGCTGAGTACAGGGAGACGATCACCTCCCTGCTCTTGCTGGCCACACTATTTCTAATGCAGGCCAGGATGCCATTGGCCCTCTTGACCACCTGAGCACACTGTCAGCTCATGTTCAGCCGAGCATCAACCAACACCCCCAGGTCCCTTTCTTCTTCACAGTCATCCAGCCACTCATCCACAAGCCTATAGCGCTGCACAGGGTTATTGTGGCCAAAGTGCAGGACCCAGAACTTGGCCTAATTGAACTACATCCCATTCACCTCAGCCCAGTGATCCAGCTTATCTAGATCCCTCTGAAGGGCCTCCCTACCCTCAGTCAGATCAACTCTACCACCTCCCAACTTGGTGTCATCTGCAGACTTACTGAGGATACACTCAATTCCTTCATCTAGGTCATCAATAAAGATATTAGACAAGATGAGCCCCAGTACCTGGGGGACACCACTTGTAACAGGTCACCAGCTGGACTCAACTCCATTAACTACTATCTGTTGGACACAGGCCTCTAGCCAGTTCCTTACCCAAAGAAGAGTATACCTGTCCAGGCCACATGCAGTTTCCCCAAGAGCATACTGTGAGAGACCATATCAAAGGCTTTTCTGAAGTCTAGGTAGACTACATCAACAGCCTTTCCCTCATTTACCAGTCTGGTCAACCAGTCGTAGAAGGAGATGAGGTTGGTCAAGCACAACCTGCCTTTCATGAAGCCATGTTTGCTGGGCCTGATCCCCTGGATGCCACACATGTGCCATGTGATCTCACCCAAGATGATTTGTTCCCTATCTTTCCCTGGTATTGAGGTCAGGCTGCCAGGCCTGTAGTTCCCTGGATCCTCCTTATGGCCCTTCTTGTAGTTGGGAGTCACATCAAGAAGCTTCCAATTCTCTGGGACCTTTCCAGATAACCAGAGCACTGATAGATGGCAGAAAGTGGCTTAGTAATTACCTCCACTAGTTCCCTCCCTAGGATGAAGCCTGCCTGGTCCCATGGACTTGCGACAGTCCAGATGGAGGTGGAGCTCTCTAACTGTCTTCACCTGAATCACCGAGGATGTATTCAGCGTAGCATCCTA